TATAATGCTTAAATGTGACTTCGCATGTCAGTTTCATAACAACTTTTGATATAAATTACACTTGGTAAGAAAATAGTCGGTTTATAATAAAGATTTACAAAACTTTCTTTTATTAAGAGGTTATAAATAATTTGTTATAAGTGGATTTATTACAGACTAATTTTTGCTTAACTTTCATTAGCCTTTTTTATATCGAAGATTTTTATATCGATATCATATAAATCGCAATATGTAAAATATAATGTTACCTCACTAGAGATCTATATAGATTGTGTGATAAATTTGTTCTAAGTTTGTCTCATATAAGGCATATTTCTAATTTGGTTTACACAATCCAAATTAAGATTTGATTAATTTATACTTTGGACATAGGCACTATCTTGGACATGGCTTTCATTTGTCCATGGATATGGACTGTCCAAGTCCAATGCATGTCTACATCCATGTCCATGTCCAATGACAACACTGGGTGGGAGTATTAATAACAAGGGTGGTGGTTCTAGTTATGTTATTGTGGTAGCTATTGTACTGACTACTATTGTTTTGGGGTTTGCGTTTTCATTACGTTTGTAGATATGGTGTGCTTATATAATGCTACAAGAAGTCTTGTATACAAGAAGAACTTTTTTCCCAGTGGTAACTTTTTTATCGATTGTCTGTGTTTTTTTTTCTTAATTCAATTTCTAAATATTGTTTCTGCATTTTCTTCAAAATATTTCATTTAGCCATTTCTTCAACGAACAATAATTTACTAATTATCTTCTAATTTAGAATCCTGATAATACTATTTTCGTAATGAATGGAACAATCGGTCAGGCTGCTAAATCTCAGGCAAAAGCTTTTCATGAAGCTGCTGATATTGGTTCGATTATAATAACTAAAATAGATGGTCATGCAAAGGGTGACGGGGCTATATCAGCATAAGTTATTGGTATGAATTTATATTGTGCTCAAAAACACAAAGCGCTTCTTGTTTTTTATGCTTTTTTTTTCCCATTAATATTGTTTAAATATATTTAAAGTGCCACAGCAACACATAGTCCAATTATTTTTTTTGGAAAGATTTGAACCTAGGCCTCTAGTACTTGATAGTTAAAAAGAGCATTTTTTTCGTACCAGTATTATCGAAATGAACTTAGTACGATTTGTACAAAAATGCTAGGTTAGTTTTGTTTTTTATATTTTATTAATATTTTTTTAAACTCTCTACCATAATTGTATTTATTTATTTTTACGTTAATAATTTTAATAATTTTAATAAATTTATATCTTAATAAGGTTGTCTTTTCAATGATTTTTATTTTATTTTATTTAAAATATTACATTACAAATTAAGTTTTTTACATTTTATAATATATACAATTTAGATATTTCATAATACAAAAATTTTTAAGAAAATATAACCTTTTTTTTATTAATTTAATAAACTTTTATAAACTAAATAAAATTTACAAACAGTGAATTTAATAAAAGTTTGAGATACTTAGTTTCAGAGATTGTCTCTCTTACTTGTCCCAACCACCGCGAAGAGGT